AGCGGGGGCAGAGGTTCCTCCTGAGGTGTTTGAGGACGGGCGTGGGGCCTGGAAGGACGGGTCTGGAGTTCCGGAGCCGGACAGCTTCTTCTTTCTTTTCTTTCTTTCTTTCTTTCTTTCTTTCTTTTTCTTTTTTTTTTAAAGTTTATTTATTTATTCATCATGTAGACAGTGCGAGCCAGAAGAGGGCACCAGGTCCCATTATAGATGGTTGTGAGCCACCCTGTGGGTGCTGGGAATTGAACTCAGGACCCCTGGAAAAGCAGTCAGTGCTCTAACCTCTGAGCCATCTCTCCAGCCCCCCTCATTTTTATTTTTAAAAGATTTACTTATTTATTTACTTACCATGTATACAGTGTGTGCCAGAAGAAGGCACCAGATCTGGCACCAGATCTCATTACGGATGGTTGTGAGCCACCATGTGGTTGCTGGCATTTGAACTCAGGACCCCTGGAAGAGCAGTCAGTGCTCTTAACCCCTAAGCCACCTCTCCAGCCCCCCTCATTTTTATTTTTAAAAGATTTACTTATTTATTTACTTACCATGTATACAGTGTGTGCCAGAAGAAGGCACCAGATCTGGCACCAGATCTCATTACGGATGGTTGTGAGCCACCATGTGGTTGCTGGCATTTGAACTCAGGACCCCTGGAAGAGCAGCCAGTGCTCTTAACCCCTGAGCCATCTCTCCAGCCCCGACAGCATAACGGGCGTGGGACCCTGCTCTGTACTGAGTCTTGTGAAAAGAGCTGTAAGAGGAAAGCTGAGCCTGGTGGCCCATGCCCGAGAGCGGCTGAGTGAGGCAGGAGGATGGTGAATTCGCACCCAGCCTTGGGCTGCACATGGAGACCGTTTCCAAAAGTAATAGTAATTTTAAATGGGAGCCGTAAATGGATAAAGGTCTCGGCAGGGGAAGGGAGTTCTATTAAAAAATAGTGAAAGGCTCTCCAAAAAAAACAAACAAGCAAAAATCATAATGAGGGACTTAACCAGGATAAGGTAGAGAACAGACAGGGGGGCTTTTTCAATCTGCCTGGAGACTCTCAGAGTAGCAAGCTACTGCCATGGTTTGATGTGTTTATTCACCAAGCAGGTGTTACACAGACTGGTTGTTAAGTTAGACACACGGTGCATAAAAGGTCCGTGCCACCGAGAGAAAGTTTTTCTCACTGGGGCTGGTAAAAGGAATGGGGTAGGAAGACCAGAGAGCGTGTTAGATGATGGAGAGTGCGGATGAAGAAATTTGAGTAGCTACCACAAAAAAAAAAAAAAAAAAAAAAAAAGACTGAAAATGCAACACTGGGCTGGAGTTATAGCTCAGTGGGCAGAGTACATGGCTACCTTGGGTTCTGGGTATAGTGGCAGCATGCCTGTAATCCCAGAGGTCTGGAGGCAGAGATGGATAGTCTGAGTCTCAGGTCAGCCAGGGTTACACAGTAAGACATTGTTGTGGGGATGGCGGGCACCAGGAGAAAGGTAACGGAAGATTAGGCCATGGATAGAAATAGCCAGGTTCTGGATATGTCGTAGGGGCAGATGACAAGATGTGAGGGTAGATTTCCTTTAAGAGAGTGCCGGGCTTGATGTTGAACTCCTGTAATCCCAGAACTTGGGAGGTGGAGTCAGGAGAATTGAGAATTGAAGGTCGTCCTTAGTTATATAGCAAGTTCAAGGCTAACCTGGGCTATAGGAGATCCTGTCACCAAAACAGAAATCAATTAAACAGTAGAGTTCTAGCTTAGAGAACCCGCTGAATAGAGTTGCCATCAGTGAAGACGTGGGGAATGCGTGGGTGGGAGAGGTTTTGGTGGTTAGACAGCTGGAACGGGCTAAATAGACAATGTCTCTCCCACCTCTGAAAAGGACATTTGGGGACCAGGTTGAGGAGACACTGGACAGTGCCTTTGATCACTCACACTTCCAAGCTCACCCATCTCACCCGTGGTTTTTCTATTCAGGAGTCTCCTCAATAAACCCAAGAGTGAGATGACCCCAGAAGAGCTGCAGAAGCGGGAAGAGGAGGAATTCAACACTGGTCCCCTCTCGGTGCTCACACAGTCGGTCAAGAACAACACACAAGTGCTCATTAACTGTCGAAACAACAAAAAGCTCCTGGGACGGGTGAAGGCCTTTGATAGGTGAGCACTGAGTCTGAGGGGCCTGAAGGAAAGGTTATTCCAGAAGCATAATGATAGTAAGTTGGTGACAAACTCCTGTAATCTCAGCACTCAGAGGGATCACCATGATCATGTTAGAGGCCAGCCTCCAAAATAAAAAAATCAGAAAGTGTGGGGTGCTCTTTTTGTTGTTTTTTTGTTTTATTTTGTTTTCCAAGACAGGGTTTCTCTGTGGCTTTGGAGACTGTCCTGGAACTAGGTCTTGTAGACCAGGCTGGTCTCGAACTCACAGAGATCCACCTGCCTCTGCCTCCTGAGGGCTAAGATTAAAGGTGTGTGCCACCAACGCCCGGCTAAAATTTGTTTTATCTGTCTATCCCATGCCTGCTAGGATTACAGGCATGGAATACAGCACCAGGCCTGGTTTGTTGTTATAGTGACTTAGAAGGTAATGAGTTGCCTTATGATCTAGTCATACGTGTCTGCCATTGTACTTTGTTCACATTCACTGTCCCCAAGCAAGCATTTCTGAATGAACTGATCCAAGTGTAAACACATGGCCACCTGGCATCATGAGGACAGGACGGAGCAGCACTGGAGTTCATGTGTTAGTAACCCTGCCTATCCTAGCACCTGTGGGTGTGGAGGAGCAGGGGTTCTCTTCAGCTTCTTCCCTAAGTACTTAGATTTGATGGCAGAAGTAGGGCCATTTTGGTTGCTTTTATTCTCCCAGGGCCATGCTTCAGAAATGCTGAATTCTAAGTCAGGTGGTGGTGGCTCACACCTTTAATCCCAGTGCTCAGGAGACAGAGGCAGGAGGATCTCTGTGAGTTCCAGGCCAGCCTGGTCTACAGAGTGAGTTCCAGGACAGGCTCCAAAGCTACAAAGAAACCCTGTCTCGGAAAACCAAGAAAAAAAGAAGGATGGGCTGAGATGTCACTGGTGGCCTGCCCACTCTCATCCTGGGGCACACAGGGACCTTTCTCCCACCAGGGCCAGGCAGGAAGGAGGTGGGCACTGGAACGCCCCCTCACTCCAGCCTTTCCCCACCCTCTACCCCACCAGGCATTGCAACATGGTGCTGGAGAATGTGAAGGAGATGTGGACTGAGGTCCCCAAGAGCGACAAGGGCAAGAAGAAGTCCAAGCCTATCAACAAGGGCCACTATATTTCCAAGATGTTCCTGAGTGGAGACTCTGTCATTGTGGTTCTGCGGAACCTGCTCATTGCTGGCAAGTAGAGTAGAGGCCTCTTCCCTCTACCTCGCCCTGCCAAGGCTCGCCCTGCCCAGTGGGATGGAAATAAAACCCTGTGTTTTTTTGTTGTTTGTTTCCAGTGGTCTCATCTCTGGGAGGGAGGGAGGCAGGCAGGCAGACAGACAGACAGACAGACAGAGTCAGTCTGTCTGTCTCGGGTGGGCGAAGCTCTAGGACAGCACCCAGGAGCAGATGAGTCCCGCTCTGTTCCATCCGGGCAGGAGACACTTTACACAGAAATGACCCTAATTCATCTTCCGCGCGCTGTGGGCAGGGCAGTTCTCGGCAGTCTGGGGAAGGAAAGGTGGCCTCTGTATGGTGAGAGGACGGTGGAAGGAGCGCCTTGCACAGGGGCAGGACTGACAGCCAGCCTCACGGCCATTCCCGCCAGGCGGGGCCTGGAGAAAAGGTGGGAGAAGGAGCCCCTGTCGCTAGTGCAGCCACTGCCTTGAGGGGGTGGGGCCTCTCCTCTGGATTCTCTCTCTTTGTCCCCACCCCCTCCGGGTAATTCCAAACACAAGATAGAAGCAAGAGATCATAGGCCTGAGGTCGGGATGGCTTCCCTCTTTAAAATATATATGAAGCATGTATGGGTGTGTTGCCTGCATGTGTATGTATGCATATATATATATATCTGTGCCCGGTGCCCTCAGGGGCCAGAATAGTTGGGTTGGATCCCCTGGATACGCAGAGTTACAGGTGGTAGTGAGCAGCCGCCATGTGGGTGCTGGTGGGAACCGAACCTGGGTCGTCTACAAGAGCAGTGAGAGCTCTTGATCTGTGACAGCCACAGTAGTTACCTTGTGAGCCCTGTGCAGAACTGGGAAGCCTGCAACAGAAAAGACCTGTGGTGCTTGGTCAAAAAGGTGTGTGGTCCCTGAGTGGCTGCCGGAAAGAAGTTTTGGTGTAGACTCTAAAGTCATCTCTTTTTCTCTGTCATTCTTTTACGGTCCTGGGGACTGACCTAGGGCCTCGTGTGCTTATCAGGTGCTCCAGGATGAGCTGGATCCTGAGCCCCCATTCATTTGTGTATATACATGAGGACTTTAGGTGGCCTCTGGCAGGGCCCTGAATTCCCTTGAAACTGAGCCTCTCTGAACAGAATTATGCTGGCAGCCAGCAAACTCCAGCAATCTGTCTCCAGTGTGTGCTGCACATTCGAACTCAGGTCCTCATTTTTGCACAGCAAGCGCTCTTCTCTTACCCACTGAGCCATCTCCCTAAAACCTCCATTCACTTTTTGTTTTGAGACAGGGCCCTTCTCAGGAGGTTCCCCCAGGCTGGCCTTGAATCTGCAATCCTCCTGCCTTAGTCTTCCAAGCAACTAGGATAACAGGCCTGTGTCATCAGGACTGCAAGTGACATTCAGAAAGGGCATTGATTTGCCCCAGAGTCACCCACTCAACTAGAGATGAATGAGGGTACATCAGGAGAGGCAGCTGGGGCGGTAGGATGGCTCGGCGGCTACTGAGTTTAATACCTGGTACCCACATCTGGCAACCACCTTTAACACAAGGCCTGGGGGATCCAGCACCCTTTCTGGTTTCCTTGGGCACCTGCACACAAATGTACATAGATTAGAAATAGATCTTTATGCCGGGTGTGGTGGCACATGTCTGTAAGTTCAAGGCTAGCCTGATCTACACAGTGAGTTCCAGGACATCAAAAGCTACACAGAGAAGCCCTGTCCAAACAGCATAAAAAAGATCTTTATGGCCTATCATGGTGGCACATGCTTTTAACTCCTGGCACTTGGGGGAGGCGAGTTCAAGGCCAGCTTGGTCTACATAGTGAGTTCCATGACAACCAGGGCTTCTCAGTAAGACCCTGTCTCAAAAAAAAAAAAAAAGAAAGAAAGAAAAGAAAAGAAAAGAAAAATGACAACAAAAACAGCCTAATGAATAATATAATAAACTAAAATGAAGTCAGGCATAGTGTTGCATGCCTATGATCCCCACAGCTTGAGGGGCTGAGGCAGGAGGATTGTTGCAAGTTCAAGACCAGCAGAGCTCTACATGGTGATTTCCAGATGAGTCAGGCATAGTGAGACCATCTCAGAAAGCAAAGGCTCTGTGGGAAGTGCATTCATAAAGGAGCTAGCCTGGGCTCACCTCCACCTCCTCCCACCTGATGACACCCATGATACTGGGGCCAGTGAAGGCGGCTTCTGATCTCCCATGCAACTCAAGGCTGCCTCAGGGCTGAGGAGAAGCAGGGCCAGTGAGGAGAGAGCTCTGCCCCAGGAGCACTGAGAACCTGGGATTGGAGCCTCCAGACCCTCAAAAGGTACTTAGTGTCTCAGCTGGGCTTTCTGTGGGGTCTCCCCAGCCCAGCTTCCACCCTCCTCACAGGGGAAGTGGGCTGGTCTCCAGAGCGAGTGCCAGGACAGGCTCCAAAGCCACAGAGAAACTCAGTCTGGAAAAAAAAAAAAATTGAAGCCATGCAGCCAAGCAGGTGGATAATCTCAGTCGACACAGTTGCCCTGAAGCCTAGTTCTTAAACCCAGGAGCAGGGCTGGATCAAGCCCTGAGGTCACAGGCTCAGGCTCCCGTCCTTTCCTGTCACCCTAAGCACTACTTAGCAGACAGGGAAACTGTTAACCTGCCTCCCAGACAGCAAAGGTTGCAGTCCTGGCCATCTGGCTTCCCAAATGGTGCTTTTTATAAACTAGCTTTTTTCTTGCTGATTAATTGCACAAGGTGGTAGGAGCGCGCGTGCGCGTGTGTATGGGTACATGTGCACACATCTGTATGTATGCAGACCCAGGCTCACGTGGGAAGCTTCCTCAATCACTCTCCACTGTCTCCCCTGGGTCTCATTGCATAGCATAGGCTGGCCCCAGATTGCAGCAACGCTCCTGCCTCAGCTTCTAGGTGGTGGGATTACAGGGACACACCACTACTTTCTGACCAGATTATTTTTTGGAGAAAGGATATGCTCTCACTTTAGCCTTGACTATCCTGAACCTTAGTAAGCAAGGCTGGCTTTGAACAAGCGACAGTCCTGCTGCTGCCTTTGGTTGCTTTTGAATAATCCCTTCCGGGGATGAAAGCCACAGTAGCGGTTCTCAGGGATTGCACCAGCCAGATGTGGTGGACCACGGGTGAGTTAAGCAGTGTTGAGAGATTCCACGGAACCCTGGGCAACCTGAACATACAGGTCCCAGAAGAGGGAACAGTACAGACAAGTTGGGAATTTAGGGACAGCTGATACAGTAGCCCATTTAAGAAATGAACTAAGCTGGTTCCTGCTACTTTTACTGTTTATTTGAGACAAGGTCTCACTTAGTTTAAATATTCAACTTGCTTTCAGTCAAGATGACCTTCAACTCAACCTCCTCCCACCCACCGCCACCTGCCAAGTGCTCAGATTGATTACAGGTGCCCTTGCCCAGCTCTGCAGTTTCTGTGTGGCCTTTCTAGAGAGGCATCAGGTTCACACACACACAACCTTAACTTGTCTTAAATAGTTTCCCATCAAGATTCCCTTAGGGAAGGGCACAGTGGCAACGCGATGTTCATGTTTTCCTGTGGCCCTGGTCGTCTCCCTTTCCAGCTTCTTCTCCCACCCCATGAAGAAGCAACTGATTCTCATGCTTGATTTACCAGGGCCTCCACTCCGCCAGAAGCCAAAGCCTGAGGTGTGGCCTTCAGTGTCAGCTCCGGGGCACAGGCTTTCTGGAGAACACCCTACTAATTGAGGTTTGTGTATATGCACACGCAGGTAGACCAGCCACAGTGAGACTGCATCCCCAAATTCCTCCCAGGGCTCTCTGGGAGATGGAAGGGTGTGTCCTGTCTGCCAGCAGTGTGTCTTGGCTCCCTGGCTTCAGCAGGGTTCAGCAGAGGCCTGCTCATGTTTAACCCTCAGTGACGCCAGGCTCCTCTGGCTCTGCTGCCAGCCTTCACCTAATGCTCAGCCCCCCTGAGTCTCCCACAGCCTAACTTGGGTGCCCCCCCAACCCCAAAGGAAGAGCCCTTTGATCCCTCTCCTGGCATCCATCAGCAAATCTTCCTCACCCCTCTGGGGCAGGGGTGAGGACACAGACACCCCTGCTAAACTCTGGGCTGGAAAGATGGAGTTGAGTTCACCCCACCCACGTGCAGGCCGATGCATCCTGCCCAGGGGATCTTCTGCCCTTCAGGCATGTGTAAGTCCTGCCTCGGTGCATGTGGGGTACATACATCCATGCAGGCAGAACAGTCGTGCACAAAATGGAAAGAATAAAATGTTCAGTGCACCTGGGCTGGAATCCCAGTCTCCACACCCCTGCCCACCTGTCCATCCGCAGGCCCTGGCTTTCCCCAGTTGCGCCACGGAAGCCCTTGTCATCTTTCTTGTCACATGCTATTCCATCTGCCTGGAACCTCGTCCTCCAGCTCTTCAAGCTGTCTCCACTTTTCTCAAACAGGGACTAAAAGCGTCGCATCTTCACAAGTGGCCTCCCCGTCAGTTGTCCTGGGCATCTCAGTTCTTTTCACAAAACCGTTCCACGACAAATATATACACGGAGGGACCTTGTCTTCCTTCCTTTTCCCCACTCAGCGGCTGCTACACAGTAGGCACAGGATACATGT